GGGCTGTCGGGGCTGCGCTCCGACCCGTTGGCGCCGAAACGAAAGGATCCTGCTCCCCGGCCGCCGAGCATTGCTTGGGTTAGCGCCAGACGCTTATTTTCAACGCCGCGGTATTGCTGGGTTAAGTAAAACACGGAGCAAGATCTGGGGGACTTTTGGCCCTTTCACCACAGGCCCGTGGTGCCCTCCGGGGGGAGCCTGGAGCAGCCCCCAGGGCTGGGCAGCTCCGCTTCTCTGCGGGGAGTCCGGCCTGGTGCTGTGCCTTGGGCAAAGCCAAACAACTGCCCACAGAAAATAAAGACATTTGGGTGGCTTTGGCTTTTTTGTTTGTTTTGTGGGTTGTTGTGAAGGTTTTTTTGGTTTTGTTTCGGCGGGGGCAACATGATCAATTCATATCTGGAAGAATGCTGATACTGATCGCTACCCAAGGGATACTCTTCTCTTTCCTTCAGAAAGGAAGCAGAAGCAACTTCCAGAACAACTGGAATGTCACCTATCTTACATACGATTGTGACACTGAGATAATACAGAGAGATCTATATTTATTCTCAGAGAGAAACGTTTACTACCTGACTAGAACAAGGTATGGTTCCTATTCTATTTTTACAGTTTCGCTTAATTTACTTCAAAGCCTGCAATAGTTACAGCTGTTTTGACAGAAGCATATTTTTCTGTCTCCTAATACTACCTGGCCAAGTAATGAGTCCTTATTTACAATGTGGAAATCAAACTGGAATTATTGCTCATCACCACATGTTCTAAGTAATTTAAAAGTCTCATTCTTCCCATTATAAGGGAAAGCAAATTTTTATTTATATTGCAAGCATATTTCTCAAATTTCAGTCATTCACCTCCTCCACAAAGCAAATGCTGTTATTGGCATTTGCTATTAATGAAAAGAAAACAAAATAATAACTTAAATTGAATGGTTAGATTTTGCTACATGGATAAAAAAACACCAAACCCTAGAGACAGAATGGAGCTGCTTATATCTGGACCTGTAATGAGCTGAAGTATTAAGCTTTAGATTTATGACAAATCAAGAGTAGTTTTGGGGACTCAATAATAATAACAACAGCAATGGCAACAAGAGCAGTAACAACACATCTCAAGCTATTCCTCCCAAATTTCATAAGCCAATGAGACAAATCAATTTCACAATATTTGTTTACCATAAAAATCTCCTTAAAATAGCCGAGGTACTTCTCAGCTGAAGCTATTTGGAAGAGATTGCAATCACCTTGATCCAAAATCTCAAGATCTGCAGGATGTGAGAAACACTCGTGAGATCAGCTCAGGCCAGAGCTGTGGGGCCAGTTACAGACCTGGCTGTTTTTAGTAAGAGCAAATATATGCCAAAAGAAGGGGTAGTATTGCTCCTTCTCCTTAACACAAGCAAAAAGATTTTATGCCGCATTGATCAAAGATCAACATAATTTAATACATCTAGTATGAATATATGTATTTCCCCATGACATAAACCCCATTTTGTTAACACAGTTGTAGCATTTCTCTTAAATATCTCCATTTCTACACACATCCAGGCAAAATGTATAAGCAGGATAAGCTGCAGGGTTTTCTAGCTTTAATGAAAGCGAGTTACCAAATTTAAATACTTCTCAGAAACATTAGAATTCATAGCCATGAAAGACCTGCCACACAACTCACTTCCTTGACCCTTCTGTAACACGAATTTGTAATGTTTGTGTGAAGTTCTTGCACCGAGGAGGAACTGACAGGGAGCCACCTCTGGTGTGGGTTAAATATGCAGAGGTTAATACAAACAAATTTTAAAGTTTTCATTGGCAACAAAATGTGCTAACAAAACTACCTAACTTCAGTGAGATGGAGCATATTCTCTAGACCAGCAGAACAGACAAGGACATTATATCTACAAAATGTCTGTAATAAAAGGAAAAGGACCACTAAGCTCAGGAGGATTTAGATGCACACCAAGAGCTCTGACCAAATCAAACAATTCTCCTACTCATTTCTTTCCAATGAATGTTAGATACTCAATATCGTGTCCATAACCATATCTCACACCTTATTAATAATGCACTGTTCATACTTAAATCTGCAGGTCAGTATGATTAATAACCATTCCTCTGCGTGATGTACATATTCATACCCAAATAATCTTCTTCAGCAGCTGTTAAATTTTCACTGACACAGAACACACTGATACAGGAAAGACTCTGGACTCTGCCAGGCATGAACACAAGCAAGAGAGCTCCAATCACACTTCTTCTCAGGATTCACAATTGTTCCCCTAAGTAAATGTTTTCAGCACCAGGACTGACTACATGATTGCACACAGTTTTCCAGAGAAACTCGTAGTTCACACACTTCTGAAATTTCCCACTCCAGTGGAATTGCTCACTGAAGTAGGATTTCAACCCAAAATCCACTTTAACCCTACAACTACACCTGTATTCTTCAGTCTGTGGTAACTGTTTGCACAAAGGGAACTCACTCTTCCATCATTTGCAAAAGACATTTTATACAAAGGGTTACACACAACAAGCTACTTTAGGATGTAAGCAAATCTGAATCCCTGTGAATGGTAATTTGAGCTGTAACAGAAGAGTGTTTAGATCAGAAGCAACAGTGCATCCATATGCACCTCTGATCCACCAGATTTCAATAATGTATTTTCCCAGTGCAAAGAAGAAATAAAGGAATATTTATTTTTTTTCTATTCTTCAAAGTATAAATGCAGACAGAAACCCGCTTTTCAGAGTAAAATGGTGTCTCATGTTCTCATATTTTCACAGTGCAAAGAAGAAATAAAGGAATTCTTTTTTTTTTTCTATTCTTCAACGTATAAATGCAGAGACCCACTTTTCAGAGTAAAATGGTGTCTCATGTTCTCAGCCCACAATACTATTATTGAGCCTGATTTTCAACATGTGCTTCCAAAATGCTGTCTCAACCCAAACAAAAATAGATTGGACTCAAAACTACCAGTCCCTTTGATCTGACTTGCAGGGATGTATGACTCAGTATCCGTTGCTCTTTGCTACTTTTTTATTATTTGGCTTTGTGGTGTGTATCTAGTGATTGTGAATGAGAGTAACTGCTATGTTGCTTTCTGCAAGATAAAAGAACGCAGAAGTATCTCCTCTTCAGGCCTTTTAATCAACCCAACTATGTAACTGAGGTTTTTATTCCTTTCATGCATTTATGAAATATTCAAGTGTTTTTTTCTGTAAACCTGCCCTTCAAAAGATGAATATCTGCCATTCTGTAAATTAACACTGTATGAGAAGTTACTGCTTGTGGGCTAGTGATGCAGAAAAGAATATGATTTCTTCCCTGCAGCTGCAGTATTTATCAGAGACGCTTTAAAAGGAGAAAGCAGAAATTAACATTTCTACATTGTAGCACTGAAAGTAGGAATGCTTTAAAAAGGTAACTGTGCTTTTAAAAAATGTAACTGCTGAGCACAAGTTATTAAGAAGGGCAAAGCGAAAGAAGTAAACCGCAGCTTTGGCAGAAGCTCCCTGCAAACAGCATGTGCTGAGCTTACCCTGTGGCTGCAGTTAGCCCCGGTGAGGAATTTCCTCAGGCAGAGCTGACAACCAGCTGTCCCAGGTAAGATGGAAAAGCAGCTTACAGTACATCACTGCCCCTCATGGTAGACTGGGTTCTGCCCTCCTGCCTTTTTTCTCCCTCTCTGGGACTCATAGCACTGATGCCTGGCAGCCTATTCCAAACCATAAACCAAACATTCCATCTCATCTTCCAGCCTGGAGTCCAGCACACTCCTCTCACGTAGAATACAAGATAACTGCTGCACAGAGTTGAAAATCTTCTGGCACAACTGGAAACCAAACAGGTCTTTCAGAGTTCACACAGCCAATGATCTCACAGAAGCAAAAAAATTCCCAAGGAAGCTTCAGGCCTTTATTTTCCTGTTACTTCCATTTCTTGGCTGTAGCTGCTTGTGCCCCAGACTGAAACGCAGAGAAATGTTGCACAGCAAAAAAATAAACCCAAGAACAAAGGGAAAAAAAATATAAAAAAATCTAGCAGCTTCTATTTTCCATGATTTTCCCCATGGTGCTGTGGAACACCCTGCCTTCCCTGCTTTCCCACTGAGTGTCCCAAAGCACCGTGTTTTTCTTGTAAGACGTG